CCATCAGTCTTGAAACTCTTTCTGTTTGGATTAGGTATAAGGTTAAGGAGGTCTTAATGACAAGAGTGTGAAGCTACGACAACCATAATTGGAGCTTCCTCTATTATAGATCCCCATAAATTCTGGTGGAACTAGCGATGGCCAACCCACTGCTACAACCTACTGGATTAGGGAGCGTTGTTAATACAGGGATTTCCGGCAGTGCGTGGTTATATCTCCTTTAATTGAGGGATGTCGGTCTAGGAGTTTCCTGACTTCTACTTGATCTCTAGGACGTGGGAGCTGATTATGCTGCTACCAACATTTAGTCTTGGGAAAGATACCTAGTTTCTTTGCAAACTGATCATAATGGATAATGGGAGCCACGGTGGGCTACTACCTAGGTGTTTACAGGAGCTATCTTGGGAAGCTACAACTTTCTTTTTCCATGACATTAAGACCGGAAGTGGGGGAGGGGTTTCTGTGAACTAGAAAGACTTACTATGATCATGTTCGATCAAACCTTCAAAGAGTAATTTCTTCTTCTTCGAGGCGTGTTCATCTTCGAGTAAGTCTGTCACTTCCACACTCTTTCCTCTTTTCTTTTTCTTTCCTTTTGATTTCTTCTTCTTCTCTAAGCTTTTCCCACCTGTCTTTCCACCTTCCATTTCCGATGATGATGACGATGAGTCGACCTCTTCTTCATCACTAAGACTAATCACTAACTTTCCATCTCCTCCCGTCTCTCCGCCGATGTTCGCTCTTTCATCTGACACACTCTTTCTCTCCAGGTTGGTTCCCAACGTAGAAGGCGTATCTTGGTCTCCCAATGGGGGGCCTCCTTGGTCCAACAGCGATGTCGTAGCTACCGATATCGAAGGCGGGATGTTTGCGTTCGGATCTCTGGAACCTGCCCTTCTTTCTCTTTCTTCCGCTTGCTCTTTCAATCTTAAGGCGTGGGCCTTCTTCTTCTCTTCTTCGATCTTTGAGGCTTCTAACATTTTCTTAGATTGAATTGAATTTGTAGACTTATTCCTCTTAAGTGTTCTCCACATCCACAATTGTTAAAGCTATTAGAAGAATGGATTTGCTATAATCTGAAATCTGAGATCTAAATATCTGACAGCTGAGATCTAAGTTTGTGTGGAGTTTCCTTTGAAAAATTCGAGAAGAGCGAAGAAAGAGATCTTGCACGAGTGACAAGGTTCAGTAGTGAGAGGAGAATTCGTCATGGAGGGGCGGAAGGAAATTTTTCCTTCTCACCTTCCAAATTCGTGGGTGGTGGGAGTGACATCCCATCACCTTCTGTGATATCCCCACTACGCCTGTCACCCTTCTCATTCCTGCGAATGGAATTCTTTGTACCGTCACAGGCTAGGAACAAGCTCAATTTCTTCAAATGTTCAGACTTTTATACATTATTTTTGCCATCCAAGGCTCTTATAAATGCATCTGAAGCGCAATTTAGGATTTGAGCCTATACCACATCAATTTCATGGGTCATTTGTTTTTTTTGAAGCCATCATCAAGTTTGGGCTACCGGACCCGGCTGACCTGGTTTGAAGCTGAGCTGGTCCCAGGCCAGCTGAGAATTTCCAGGTCAGGTCCGGGTCGATGCATTAATTTGAAGTAAACAACTTCAGAAGCAATAGCCAAACTTAACTAAGTCCCAACCTGGACCTAACCACCAACTCCAGGGAGGGACCTATACCCTAACTTAACTAAGTCCCTCTTGGACAAGCGAGTAGTTGAGAGAGGGACTTATGGCTTAGCCTTTTACATGAAATTTGGTGTGTGAGCCAATTTGCCTTGGCTGGGGACTATTTCAACCCTGAATAGCTCCATCCCTTGCAAATAAATATCCTCTGGACCTAAGAGAGACCTTGTGCGCCTGCTCAACCTACACATATTGGGTCTTTTAAATTTATTTCTTGGGTTTCAGAAAGTGCTAGACACCAGAATTGAAAAATTGAGTTGTGTGTAACAATCCAGCTTGCCTGGTGTGAGGTTTTGACACATTGAACAGCTTTCTCAGGTATTATGGTGTTTTTTCCAAACTCTACCCTCTCATGACTCTGCAATAAATGGGCAAGATAAGGAGTGAGATACATTCAGGTGTGTAGAATCAGCAGGCGCACAAGGCCTTTCTTGGGCCCAAGAGCTATTCAGGGTTGAAAAAGTCCCCAGCCAAAAAAAATTGGCTCACACACCAAATTTCATGTATAAGCCATAAGTCCCTCTCTTGACTACTCGCTTGTCCAAGAGGGACTTAGTTAAGTTAGCTTATACCCAATGTGCAGATTTTGGCGTGAGTTCTGTTGGGGGATTTCCACAAAATCTGTGATCTCCTCTGCTTGCATAAATCACAAGCCAAAGACCTTAATGTGTATAATGAAAAATAAGTGCAGGCACCCTATCTATATAGTGCTGCTCCTGGATTTGTTCAATCTAAATCCCTTCAAAAGTTATCTGTTGCTGGTTAAGTCCAGGTTGGGACTTCATTAAGTTTGAGCAATAGCACTCTATATACACTGCCAGCATTAAATAGGTTCCCTGGTTGGAACATGACCTAGGCTGGGAATATCATTGAGAGAAGAATGGAGAATCAAATCATCTTGCACTGCACATCTGAGCCATAAAGCATACACTACATATGTGCAAACATCTGAGTAAATCCTTAGCTATCAGCTACATACAGGTCCGCTCAGTTATCTGCTCATCTAGATAAGAAAATCATGTGTAATACATGCTGTAACTTTGTTCAGATTGAGACGCACATTTCAAAATATTGACTACATATATCACAATGGCTACTCAGGAAATATTCATGGAACTGTGTAACAGTAGCAGAATGGGAATCTGATCACTAGGACCTGTATTCCCATCTGGGAACCTCTTTAATGCTGGCAGTGATACCTTGCAGTACTCAAAGCTACACATGTACATATATGTAGTTGTCATATACATATACTTTTATTGGTGGAGGAAAAATATACTTTTGGACTTGTTTTCCCCGCCAAGAAAAGTATGTACCAAAAATATGTACATTTATTTACATACTTGCTTTGAGTACTGCAAATATATATTAACATATGGATCTTTGAGATATGGTATCAGTACATCAACAGAATTGGATGAGCTTGGGAACCTTCCAGAAGTAAAAAACCAACTTGGGCTCAATAGGGTTCATATGTTACACCATGTCAGTATCCTTGTAGCACATTGAGGTACACACATGGAGAGTTTGGAGACAAATTTGAAAGCATTTTGGTTGGATTTAGACTGAGATTGTTGTTGAGCCCCTTTTGAGAATAAAATATGATCTTCCGGATCCTTTGTCAGCAGCTGGGGTTGACTGATTTTCAACATTTCAATTGACAAAGGGAAGAGATACCTGTTGTGGAGACATCTTTGAAGGGTCTTTTGAGTGTCTATCAAAATTCCTTTGTGTGTCAACATTGATGTGCTACAAGGATACAGACATGGTGTCATCCACTTGATTGGACTCATGTCAAAGGTTTACTGATCAAACAATTCCTTTGAAGCTCCTGCTTTTGAGAACAATGGAGGTCAATCCTTCATCATGCGCTCATTCACACATTCAAAATACTTGTGATTTTGTCAAGATTTCATTGTATTCAACAAAAAACAGGTGTAGCAGGTTTGTGATTTTTCAAAACCAATTTACTTTAAATCAATCAGTTTGAGTTTAAAAGAATAAGTTTGGAATTTAAATGAATTAGTTTGAATTTGAATGAATATTATTTGAATTTGAATGAATCACTCTTTAGTTTAAATTAATAAGTTTTGAATTTAAAAGAAAAGAGGCAACCAGTGGAAGCCATTTGAGGGAAGAGAGTAACACATTGTTATTTTGAAGAAATTGAAAAAGGGATTGACTAGATGAGTGAAAGGGATAAATGTATTGAGTTTGAGGTTAGGGTGCTGGTGAGCTGATTTTGTGCATGATTGGAGAGAAAACAATAGAAAAAAACACAGGAAAATAGACAGACAAGTCCAAAAGAAACTCACTGTGATGGGTTGAGGACCAAGGGCAATAGAGAGTCACACCTTGTTGCAGTTGAATATGTCAAACAATATGACTTCTTTTGTTTTCAAGAATGCACAAAATTTTTGCACATATGTGCAAAAGTCTGTGTGTGCCTTTTGACACAATTGGCATTAGGGGGTTTCAATTTTAGTTTTTCTTACATGTTTTTTAACAATTCAGACAAGTTGTCCAAAAGGAGTCTGTGTAAAACAGGTGTTTCTTTGATTTGGGACACCTAAAATGTGTTCTGATTTAAAAAATCTACACATATTTTACAACAATGGGCAAGTTGTTGTAGCATTTAATGACATGAAAACAGCCAACTTGAAACCCCCTATTACCAAATGATGTTTTTGTGCTGCATATGCATCCAAAATCACTGTGTCTCTTTGGTGGTGTGCACTCAGTTGCACCACACACAGGCACCAAAGTGGGTGTACAGTGTACATACAATTTTCTGGATATTTATCCATCATACAATCATCATCATCATCATCATCATATGGGTTTTTCAGCCCCTCGTGTGCGGAGCGCAGGCTGCGCTATATTTATCCGCGTATATAGCGGATGCATCAACCGCTCCGCAACCGCTATATGCAGCGGAGCAATTCCGGTATTGACTGGGACATTGAAAGTCAGTTGACCCCAGTTGATGACAAAGGATCCCGCAAATCCTATGAATAAACCACTATTCACAAAGGGTGCTCAACAACAATCTCAGTCTCAATCCGACCAAAAGACTTTGAGATTTGTTTCAAAACTCTCCGTGTGTGCACGTTGCCATGCTGCACACATATTGACACGGTGTAGCATTGTTTGGCGTAAGTCCATTTTCATAAAAAAAATGAACAGGAATTGAATTGTCCATGGAAGAGAGGAAGTATGACAAATTTGAGGAACAGAAACAAATGGAGAGATATTGTGATCTTTAGTTTGACAAAGAAAAGAGTGAGGCAAATCAGAAAAAGCCTCAGGCTCTAGATTCCAGTATCTTTTCTGCCGCAATCTCAGCAATAGCATATATTGATAGTTGAGGATGAGTAGCTATGTGAACCGGGAAGATACTTTGTGCAAGCAAAATAAATAAATATCAATTTTGGTCAGTTGGAATTCAACTCCATCATGAAGCCCCTACTGAGAACTGTAATTTACCTTGCATCGATCACTCTCAAATTATGAGTGCCATATACTCTTAAATCGGGGTCCACCACACCGCCCAGCTCTCGCGGTAGCATTGCTGCTGTACCCACAGGGTGATCTAAATAAAAAGAGCGACTTTAATCACTCTTCAGAATCACATTAATAGCAATAGAGACTTACAAAATGTGTCTATGTTTTTGGCTGCAAATCGCCTCCAATCTTCATCAGTATGAACCGTGTTTCCCGGAGATATCTCTCCCAATATCACATCATCCCACTCTTTGCCTTGCATGATCTTCCTGGAATGCTTGCATGCCTTTGCAAAGAGCCACAAACCAAACGGGTGATTGAGAAATCCTTCATGTAGCGACCAAGTAGAAGGACAAGTCAACTTTCATCCTACCACTCTCATCACCGGTGAATTCAGCTTACCGGTGTCAATCAGAGGTGGCTCTGTTGGATCACGGCTACTGATGTGTGATGATCCACGTGAGAATGGATATTGTAAAGATGACGCAATAGCGATGCTGGAAATAAAAAAGTTGAGGTGGACTTTAGCTCTTCTTTTTTTCATGATCGGAAAAACTCATCATTCAAAAGACCTACTATGAGACGTTCTGAGATGCGGAAAAGGCCGATGTGCCCTATTTTTCGGTCCAATAGTCAATTTTAGCATAAATCACGTAAGCAAGTCAACTCACCTCGAGTTGGGCTGAGCCTTGATTGATCACGAGAAATTCAAATGGCGTGCCACTTAAGACCTGCTCCTTGATAGCTTCAAAAATCTGCGGAGGCAAGGAAGTGGAGTTATGCTCAAGATATTGAAGACCTTCTGAAATTTCTTCTTCTGTCAAAACAACACGCAAAGGCTCAAAGTCCAAGAGCGAGACGACCTGGGTTAATATCCCTTCACGACGAGTGTTATAGAGATCCAATTGTTCGGCTGCGTAGGTAGCATTGCGGGCAAGTTTATCTGAGGAAAAGAAACCGGGTTTGAGTTGGTGGACGTTTAGGTTCATTGGGTGATCGATTAAGTTTGCTCCTACACCCGGAAGGTTGAGGAGGACTGGAATGTTGAACTTTTTCAGCACGGATGAATCACCCATCCCACTGCGCTCTAGAATGGCAGGAGAGCCAATCGAACCCGCACTCAGTATGACCTCTTTACGAGCAAAAGTTGTTCTAATCAAGCCTTCAGAGATATATTCCACGCCTCCGACAGTTACCTCCTCTGTCTTTGAACTTGAGACCAAGAGACGATCAACTTCAGATTTCACTCGAACCACCAGGTTCGGCCGCGAAGCAATTGGAAAATCTATGATTGTGTTCACCAATGAGGCTTCTATGCAGAGATCGAGTTAGATGGAAGTGGGACTCACAATAAGCACTAGCACTTGTTACCCGTTCCAAATTGTCGTCAATGGTCAAAGGTACATAAGCAGGCCCTTTTACATCTCCTTTGAAATTGTCCGTGAAAGTTCTCACATGACCAAGCTTCTTGATTGCAGGGAAATATTTTGCTACAATTGGAGGAAGAAACTTTGAAAAAGAAGTCTTGACAGGACCATTTTTGCCGTGGTACTCGGTTGAAAATGAAAAATTCGCAGATGGAGGAGGGATGAGAAGGTTTTCGGACTTTTTTGCAGCACGATCAAATTCATCCCATCCCCTTTTGAACCGATAAATTAAGTCGGTGTATATCTTTTAGTTTGAGATGTAGATCTTACGGACTGATGACGAGAAATATCCTACCATCCTGGATTTCCTAATTTCTCAAATGTATTGTAGTCGTGGCGAGATGCTTTGGTAGTTAGCATAAAGTTGATTGCAGAGGAACCACCCAAGACCTTTATCAAAGGCAAGCGCAAGTTTCACGTAAGCGAGCTTGTTTCGCGCAATTCACTGACTGTGTGTCAACTCACCTTACCACGAGGGTATATGATAGAACGATTTTCAGCTTGCTTCAGAGCAATCGTCGAATAATTCCAGTCTACTTGAGTCCTGAAAGTGCTACCTCCAGGGTCGGAATATATATTGAGTTTCAAAGTAAGTCTTTTTGAGCGGACAAAGTGTACCCGCAAGACCAGGGATAGAGATCCCAATGTTCCCCATGCCGCGATCACCAGCCTATTTGATCAATATTTTTTCAGAAGCTGAAAGGCAAATGACTCTTCATAAATACAGTTATCACAGAGATCTAACCTCAAGGACCAAGACCGTGATGTTTGGATTCTCTGAAAGTCGTGAAGCAACCGCTAGTCCTGGGATTGAAGAATTTTGTCAGTCTTGTTATTATCTTTGATATATGGTACACAAATATCGTTCTGGCAATTTCCAGAAGGTTTTTTCCAGAACTCCAGAACCCTTCGGGAAGCGTTCTGGCGTTCTGGAAAAAACACAAATACACACATAAACTTTCTGCTGCAGCCGTTCATTCCCCACATGCATCACCTAACAAACATGGATCAAGTGATCAGCAACGACTACCTCAAGCCAACCCAAGAAGATCAAGTTATCACGCCGTTCACTTTACAAATTCACCCATCTGCGCTTCAGGCCTTTTAATCGACCTTCAATTTGAACTTCAGATCACCAAACTTCTATACGGAACCCATTCCAGGTATCGAGAAATTTTTATTGGCTTGAGATGGGTCATTCACCGTGAATCAATTAATACTCAGAGGCAAAGCTTTCACTGCAATCCAATCGATACATAGAGGCCGTTTTATTCTTATGATTTTCATCCACTTTCTCCCGGTTTTCAAGCACAAAAATCGATTGATACAGGTATCATCATATTGAGATTCTTTCTTAAGTCTCAATTTGTACTCTTTGTACTTGTTAGTTAGAAAGCTATATAGAAGGAAACTAGAAAGAAAACACAAAAGCTTGAAAACTAGTGAAACAGCGACACTAAGATGAAAGATAAAATGATTATTGTTCCCAAGCCCATTTCAAACACTTTGAGTCGCAATAGATTGAGTGAAAAAAGCATCTTGCCGCGTAGTATCTTGCCCGGATTCATGAACATCAGTCGTTTGTGCGATGGGTTTGGTGCAAAGAGGCCTTAAATGTCCTGTCGATTGAAACAGGCGTTCAGAGTTCTTCAATCGCTTTGAACTTTCAACTCGGCAGGCCAATCTTCCCCATCTGCCTTTGAGAAAGTATGTAATATTATACATACATGAATCTTTCAAGTTGAGGTTGGGTTTTTTTGAGCCATAATCGAGAAGTGAGAATGGAAGTGCTGAGATGGGAGAGGGATGAGATTTGGTGTCCTAGGGGATGAGGGGAGTGCCAGCGGAGTAGGTGGTGGTTTGGTTCATGGTGTAGTCGGGCTTCTGGAATTCTGGAGTGTGGGGCATTCAAAGTTGCAGAACACCAGAACGCCAGAACACACCAAACAAAAAAACTTCTGGCGTTCTGGAAAAAGCGTTCTGGAAATTTCCAGAACAATATTTGTGTACCACAAATGACCATGAGCTTACGTTCGGAAGGTGTCATTGACTCTGATACAATCACCTCATCAACTAATACAATAGTTGCTCAACAAAAGGCTTAAACCATCATCACAGGAACTCTTGCTTCAAGTCAGTATCACTCATTGTCGTATTCAATGCTTCATGATGGAGACTGAAAAAGTTTTGAAATACATTCAATTTGATTAGCATTTGTAGGATCAACTTATGGATCCATTCATTATGTTTGTCATAACCTTTCACCTACCTTTCCAGAAATTTCGAAATATCTCTTGTTCTAACATTCTTCAGTAGGTCTTCATTTCAGCTACACCGTTTTTAGGATACAAACCAGGTTGATGAATTGTGACCTTGGACAACTGTCCTTTTTTTTGTCACAAAGGGTTTGGCGCTAATTTATGTTTTTGCTGAAAAACAGGGCCTTTTGAAAATGTGTTGTAGAGCAATTCTTGACCAAACAACTCCAACAACTCAAACCCACAACCCTCATCTGATTGGCGTATTACCTACCATTATCACTGCTACTATGTTTGGTGGTTCCATCAATGGTTTTGCCTGCCAGATCTCAGTTGATTTGCTGACGTGTTTTCTTGCTTCTCGCAACATACTAAAATAGATACTGGGGTGATTTTCTCACCGGAAATGTTTATGTATCAAGGTGGTCATCGCACGATCCTTTGAATCTCAATCACTACCTCATTGGTCTGTAGCTCGATCAAATAAACCTGAATGAAATCGACTTACTTTGAATCGGACTCTTGTCATCACTATTAGGGATCTATTGATCAAAAGCATAACCTTCAAAAAATCCATTGTTGCCTTTACATAGCTAACCCGACCAAATCGATCAAGGACAAGATGATTCAACAGGTAAAGCCAAGTCATCATCATGATCCGTAGATTGAGCTCATCTTATTAACTTTGACTGCAACATCATCTGATAAACTTGAATGAAGAAGATCAATTGAAGGTTTTTCAATCATCTCATCTTGAATCTGTTCGTTTCATCAATGATCAACTCTTGGTTTTATTTTCAAATCTTCATTCTTCAATCGAATCAGCTATAAACTCATTGGGAACTTCACCATCTGATCATATCTTACCACCACATCCGATTCAAAGTAAATTAAGATTAGTGAGATCAAGATGAAAAAAATGATTAGAAGCACAATCGACTTATTATAAGCCATTTAAATCAAATTATAGAACTCGTTATGATTTAGAACCGCCAAAATGAGTCAAAGAAGGGTTTACAATTGTAGCAAATGATGGGGTATTATTAGTAGATTAATTTGATGGATTGATGAATGGTTTGAAACCTTTTAGAATGATGGATCCAGATGAATTGATTAGAAGAACGATTCAAATTTCTAGAATGCCAATTTTTTTGCTTTGAATGTAATCACACTCTACTCTATCTCTCATTATGATCTTATTCTGGAAATCTACAAACTGATTTGCTTCTTTTCTTTTTGTTTTTAGCTCGCAGCTCATCATGCAGAGTTTGATGGTCAAAACTATAGAGGTGATAGTCAACATTGTATTCATCATCATTATGGTCTAGGTATAGAAAGAGTAGAAGGTTTAGAATGAATGGTAGATCATCATATCAGTGGTAAGTCATTCCCTCTATTTCTTTAAATTTAAAAATCACACACTAATCTTTTCCCGAGTTATTTTCTATGATCTCAGAAACCCTTTCATAAGAAATTTGGTCCAGATAGAACCTTTGTAATAGTGTCATGGCAAGATCAATCCAACATATCACAAGATTTTGTTTTATTATCATCAAGTGAATTGGTAGAAGTCACATAACATGAACAATCAGAAACCAAACTTGACAAATTTATTACCTACACTTAGGTTTATTGGATCAGGTTCATGATGGAACTTTATACAACATCATGTCCACCAGAATCAAGTTATCAAGTTTGAAAGTATAATTTACATAAAAGAAAAAAATAAATCCGGAAATCAAGTACATAATCTCAATGAATTAGAAAAACCTTTGATTGGATTTCATGGACATTTTCAAACTGGACAAATCAAAAGAAGGCCAAGTCAATATGACTTGCATCTGAATAGCAATGAAGATACATCTCAATTTGTTTCAAACAATAATGGTAACAATGAAGATGATCAGATCCAATCAGATCCTACCGTTTCTTGTGTTCACATTGATGGATCAAAACAATTTGAATTTGTAGAGATTGGGTATAAATGTCTTATGTATTCTCATCTTTGTTTAAATTCAAGGTGCATTATTTATTGTTAGTTTTTTTCAAATCATCTTTCTTGAAAACTAATTTTTACACTTCTTAACACTCATAAATTTACAAATTGATCCAAATTCAAATATCAATCTGAAAATCAATCCATCTCTCAACACAATCCTGGCTGGGTATTAATATAACCAAATTAGCTCAATATCAACTTAATACAAACTTTATAGACAGTAAAACTTCACTCTCAAGAACATTATTGTACTTATTCTTCTAGCTTAAATTAGATTATTTTCTTACAAAATAGAATACAGCTGGCATTATTCAACTTTCAATCTTTATCACTTGTGATTTACCTTATCATCTGTACATGTACTTGCTTATGATCAACAGCTCCAAGTTTAATTGATACAAATAAACATGAAAAAGTGTATGGATTTCACTATTTCGAGCCCTCGGTGCAGTATCCGCAGCCCCATCTCGGACCGGACACCGGGCTACACTCGTCTGGCAGCCCTTTATTTAAAAACATAGGGGCTGCATATCGAAGAAGGGGCTACATTTTGGTTTCAACTTTCCATGTTTTCTCAGCTAGCTGCCTGTCTGAAAGTCACAAGACCACCGAACTAAGTGCGGCATAAATAGGTTGAATTATACATAAACGCATAGGGGCATACAGCATAGCTAGCAAAATAACATAACATAGAGAACGGTGAGAGGTTCATAGATACAACAACAAACAACACAGAGTTAAGAGCATACAACCACCAAGCAAGGTTAAAAAGAAAAGAAACGCAGAAAAACTACGGACTTCTCTCTTATCGATTAGCCCAAAGGTCGAATTGAGCTTGACAACTACAAATCCATTCAGGGATTTTGGTCAAAGTGATGCTTGCTGATTGGGCCTGACCGTATATATCTGGAAATGGAACCAAACCACCGCCGGTGTCCAAAGAAACAAAATGTTCATCATTTACAAAAGCAAGAATGATAGGATCATTCTTGTTAGGTGGTGTGCGGTAAGGGAAAAATGTATAACAGTTCGTTTCGACCGGATTGAAAAGAATCACCGGGCATTCATAGGCACTGGCAATGACGTAGCCTGAATAAGGCATGCGCATCCAGTATTGTTTAGTACATTCCAACCCCTGGGGTTCAAATCGCATGAGCAGGTCGTCGACTATTTCGGTGGCATAAGGTGCCTTACTGCGAGTCTTCATACCGCTAGCCTTCATTCCAAAGGCAGTCGATATCAGCTGTTCATGGACTTCTTGATGCTTGAACAGCTCTTCGTGTAAGTGGTGACGAACCCAAGCGTAAGATTCCTCATCGTAACATTGGAGGGCTTTAGCAATGGCGAAATATCCACAGTTACCGTACGCTGGTGGATCAAATACAGACTTGATGTAAG